ATACATAATGTAATATATATACACAATATATATAATAATAATATATTATTAATATAAAAATAATATACAACATATATATATAATATTATTATTAATATAATAATCATATATTATATATAATATATATACTATAGACTATACATAGCTGAGCAGCACACCCCTAAACAGCTGGGCTGATGCCATCAGGGCGGTCAGCTGTGATGCTGAGAGCTGAGTAGGAGGGAGGATTTGGTGGATGAACTTGAGAAAGGAGTTGCAAAGGCAAACAGCAGTAAAAATAATAAAAACCGGTTCAGCTTGTTTTTTTTCCATCTTTCAATGTTATTATTAACTTTACAGCCTGTGATGGCATTCCACACCTGCCTGGAGTTGTTCAGTTGGGAGTTTCCTCTCCAGGTTTTCCTCCTGTAGCTGTCCTTCCTCTTCTTCCTTCCTCTGTCTTTGTCTTGATTTGTCAACTCCTGCTCTTTTTGTGCTCCTGTTATGACGTGCTGTGCAAAAATCATCTGAAACAACTCGATAAGCTTATATGTTTTAAGCTCTCATCAGATTCATGATCAGATGCAGAGAGAGAGATGTGTGTGTTATATATTACGCAAAAACAGCAGCTGGAAATGTTTGTTTTTGTTGACTTCCAGTGGCTTTGATTCTCATCCTGCTGCAGTGATGTAGAAGTGTACACCGGGCATTGTCAGTACACCGTGACATCACAGTTTGCAGAGGTACAGAGGACACTACAAACAATATCTTTAAAGATTTTTAAGTACAAGAGGGATTTTTTTTATAAAACAACTTCATGGCTTTATATAAAACAAGAAAAATATGCATCATAAGATATTGCTGGTATATGATACTGTTTACATAAACGGTGGCTATAGTACCAGGGGGCGAGGCAATAATACAACAGAGGTATTGAGGATTTTAGCAACGACACAGGAGAAGATTAAATGACCACGTCGCCGACATCACAGGATATATGACCTATAACATGCAGTTCAAATGTCGCGCAGCGCAGTGGTCGTGGCACAGGACGAGAACTCAATGTGCAAAACGGTACAGTAGATGCGAGTACATGGATAAAGAAAGAGACAGACTATATTCACATCAACTAAACCACCAAGGCTGCGATTCATTCATTTAATTAAAAATATAAGCTACACTAAATCGTGTTTGGTGTCATGATAAAAAAGCATTCAGTTTCAAATAATTTTTGTGGTTTGTAAACTTGTGTACATCAAACTTTTACACGTCGTCCATGTTTATTCTAACTAGGTCATCGCTTGTGTAACATTGTGAGGTGTTTGACAGCTCTTTAGTGCTAGTAACAGAGATAGAAGAGTAAAAATAACCTCTTAATCATCACTTCAAAAGTGGTGCAATTTTTGTACATGATAATACTGATATTTCATGACAGCATAAGAATAAAACAGTCACCCAGCAGTGGCACTTGTTGGTTACATTTAAGCTTCGAGCCCCCCAGCTAGTAGCTCAATGGACGAAGTGAGACAGTGCAATAGTATATATGTAGTCATAAAACTAGAAATCTTAACAGAAAACTGATCTATCTCCATTACAAATGAGCAAATGCCTGTTTTTTTATGCCTAATACACTTAATGGTTTGTGTTATTTAGTGTGGAGCTTCAAAGATTTTGGAATTTCCCCATTGTGGGACTATTAAAGGCATATCTTATCTTATCTTAAAGTGTGAGGCACTGCTTCTCTTTTCTGTACCGCGCTGCAAAAATCAATGCACCTAGTTTCTCCTCTAGCACTGTCTTATCTTGGTAAATCTGTTTTCACTACATAAAAAAAAGATTGCAGGTGCATTTCCCTTTCACACATTTTGGCCTGACACACTGAGGGAATCCAGAGTGTGAGGACAGACAGCGGGGGTGATGACAAAACAACAGTGGTTTCTCCTTTCTTTGTCCCAACATCTTCTTCCTAACTGGTTGCTACACATTTCTCATAACAGAAGTCCATACCGGTGTTAATTCTGTCACTGGTTCACCAAGTGTTGGTTGTGGGTCGGTGCAACAATACACTAAGTATGGATGTATGTATATACAGTATCAGGGATGAAGATCTTGTCCCATCTTCCGTACTTTTTCTTCTACTGTCAGAAATCAGGATTCAGCTCCTCCATTGCCATCTTCATCGCTGTGTCTTTAAGGGTCTCTTCACTGATTGGTTTCAAGCGTTTGGTCACTAGCTTGAGGTTGGTCTCGTGGAGGATAACCTGCGTCAAGTATTTCTCTCGTTTGATTTGTTCTTTGACAGTGTACGGGACGTCTGGGATTATGTAGGACAGGACGAACTTGGTAAAGTACACAATGTGCTGTGAGGAGAAGAAAAAGACACCTCAATGAATATGTTTTAATTCTTGTTTTCATAATAATTTTGTGCCACGGAGATGTCCTGTGTATACCCACCTCTACAACGATTATAAAAGCCATTTTGGCAGCAATCACATGCCAGTAGTAGACATTGTACTCATACTGCCTGGGGTGACCGGGGGGATACCGAAAGTCTCGATACCTAGAACAGAAAGGTTTTTAATTATTTCCTTTAGAAACCAACATCATATTTTATTATTATTATTTTTTTTTTCTTGTATCTTCATATAAAGAGGTTGTATTTGGTCCACAAGTTTCCATCACACTATTGTCCCTGTTGTTTCTTGCATTACAGTTTTTCTCCATTGGTTTGGCTCATTTCTTGAAACAGAAATTACATTCTCAAAACAACATGGACAAACCTCCAAACCACTTGG